CCTGCTGAATCTGCGCTGATCTGCTGCTGCACGTCGGCGGGGCTAGGTTCTGCGCTCACTTGTGAGCTGAAATACGACGCAAAAAGTTGTACACATACTTCATGATCGCTTCATAATTACTTCATAAATTATTTTTCGCAAGGATCGATAAATAAAATTACTAAAGACGGTGAAAGCAAAAACGTTTCGACTGTTCGAACTTACGAAAAAACCTCTTGTTAATTCATTATCGTTCATTAGCAATTCAGAGTTTGTTTTTAACGGTAACTATTAACGATATAACTATTAATTAACGATAATTTAACGTTATCAGTCGAGTGAGATCTAAAATTTTGTAGCATTTCTTAACACAAAATAATCTCAGATGTTCTTCTAGGATCAATATGAAACTGATTAATAATTAATTCACTTGAAGATCGTGATATTTTCAAATATCACTGTTTAATCATACCAGTGTTAAAAAAATCGACACGTGAATTGCAAATGTTACAATACTCATCTTTTACTTAACCATTTGAAAACCAAATTATGGAAATAACATTAAAAATTCAGTAGATGAATATCCATATGTATATATCATTTTAACTGTAAGAAATAAACGACTTATTACCAAATGATTGGTACTTGGGAACTGTTTAAACATCAACAACAGTATATGCACATTTTAATATCTTACTTAGTATCAATTACGTCTAACTGTTCAACGACTATATTTTACGGAGGTTTCAGTGATGAATGGTAAATCAAGAATAAACGTCGATTTTGAATCGAACGAAATCTACGCTTAGAAGTAAATATGTATTTACTTTTCCTATCGAAACGCATGGTCCTATACTGGGGCACGATCACGTGTTTGAAATCAATATCTAAAGGTTAAATAGGGCCAATTTGTAATTACACTGATAATGGGCGTGGATCGTAGCGTTCTGAAAGGCAACGATTTGGAGGCTTTCCGATGATGGAGATGATAATTGAGTCTGTTTGCAAAGCGACTTGCAAGTGGGACGTGATTCGCATCTCGCGAGGGTACTTTTATGTTCCTCTTTAAAGGTAATAAAAATGTTATTGTAATGCTGCGATACGAAATAAGTACTATATGTGAGTGTCAGTCAGGAATGTTTGTTAAGAAAAAGCCGGATTGTAATTAAATGAAAGAACTTATAGATCTTTATTAGAACCTCTTGTTTCTTAAAGAAGCAACAAGTGGAAAATAAGAAAGAACTTATAAAATTTATACATACGTGAATTAAAGAAAATTTTTAATAAAAATTAAAAAATTGAGAAATTGAAAGGCTCTAGATACTTAATATTAGTATTAATACTTGATATTATTATTTAATTAAGTAGAATAAGTAACCATTTCCTCCATCTTGATTATATCGAATAATTTTCATCCACTTTTATGGACATCAAAATTTCTATGAGGATACATTTCCATATTTTCTACTAATCTTCTGCTAACTTATTTATATCATGTTTATACGTTTATAGCTATTTTTTTAAATCGAAAAACATTTGTTTATAAAACATTTAACTTTCACGTACCAAATGACGATTCGATTGGAACAAATATTTTGATTTCCTACACAATTATCCCGAACGACCTTGATTCACAGATGAGTGCACTCGTTTAACATATAAAAGAAGTACACTATGATCACTTTAATTATTACGTGTTCCCACAATTCTGTGCTCGATGTAACAAGCTACTATACGTAACAGTCAGTTCTCTGCACAGTTTTATTGATATATTTTGGCTGAACGAAGCTGTCGTATATTTTCACATTTTGGATGAAGAATATTTATCATGGATAAAGAGAGTTATGAATAATTTGATCTATTAACGTAACAATTCGGTATCATCTATTGTGAAAATCTGTACTATCTGTAAAAATAAGAAAAATTAATAAAACAAATTTTTTTAAAAGTTAAATGAAGAAATTTTAATAATATGACTTATTTCTATTCAAATATAAAAAATACTTTATTTAAGGAAACTATAAGGACAAACCTTTTCTTTAGTTTTCTATGACTATACTATTCATTTGACGGTAATTTTCTAATATAACAACTACATTTCGATCTTTATTATTTCTTTAAGAAACATGTTAATTTTAGAGATTCAGAATTGCAGAATATATTTTATAACTAACAAATTCAATATTTGAAACGTGAGTATTATAATTTCAAATAAAAAGTTGTTTCCGTGGAGTTTAACAAATAAATCATTTTAAATGATAAAAAAGTAAAAGAAAAAAAGATAAAGCAAAAAAAGGAAAAGAATAAACCGATCGACCGTGACAGGACTCGAACCTGCAATCTTCGGATCCGAAGTCCGACGCCTTATCCGTTAGGCCACACGGTCTTTGAAGGGTAGTTTTTTGAAATTAGTATTTCACTACTAAAGAAAATGTCACCCCTGATATTATTCAATCCGAAATATATGCACTGCGTAGATGTTTAAACATCTAATTTACAATATTACTTTTTAAAAATTAATGCTTTATACCGCTATTATAAACCAAAGATAATTAGAAACCTGCATTTATTGAAATAAAGGTAATTTAAGGGTGAACAGATACCTTTATATATCGCAAATGTAAAGTTACATGGTTATTTTGAAAAGTTACTTAAGAAATACTATTACCGCTACTAATACTATTATTATTGCTACCATTTTAATAATGGTAACAATAATTCCATTATAATAAATTAATACAAATCGTGTCTATTTTTAATAAACTCACATGACGATTGGTTTAACTACTAAAGATTTTCAAGTTGAATTTTTAACCTGAATAATTAAACTTTATGAGAACATTTATTTCATATTTTATAATGAATTTAATGTTTGAAGAAAGTTGTATCCACCTATCCATTTAGCATAATATTGTTCTACTGTTTGTCAAATTTACCTCACATTATTGTTCCATTATACAAACATTAGTTTATTGTTATCAAATTATAATACTACAGTTTATTATACTTGCAATATCTCTCTAAATATAAATAAATGTATATTCTGTATATACAAATAAACTAAATCGTCTTTAACAACATAACGTTATTTATATGCCTAAGTTAAACAAATTCATCACTATACTAGAAAAAAAATAGAAAAATATTTCCAGAAAATCTTCAACTCAATACCTTGGCCAGTCACATTATAGACCCTGAAAGCTCAACGACATAATTGCGCGGGAGGCGTGTCGTGACTTAATCTTGTTCTAGAAAACGACTGAATATTAGCAGACATTGACGGACATCCTGTACCAAATACTCGCTAAGTAGACGATATCACGCGCGTCTGTTCGAAACCTTTTGCGGACTTGATGAATGAAGATCTTCCGGAACACTTTTTGCACATTGACTTCCTCATTTGTGTCGTTTTATATGTTCATTTTCTTCGAAAATATGTGGTACTCGATATAATCTACTAACTTTTCACTTTTTCACTTTTGGTCATTCAAATAATATGGTCTCTACCCTGGTTACACACACATATTATAAATATGAGTTTTATCATTTTTACTCACAAATTTTGCACATATTGGAATGGTGGAAACACGTGTAACGATACGAGATAAAACGATCTAATATTTAACATTATATATACAATGGATTATTAGAAATTAGTAATGTATGTATGTAATAATAGATGATTAATATTCAACCACTTGGCCTACTTTTAAAATGAACGAAACAAGTGAAGTTGTCAGAAATCAATAAATTATTCGTGGTACCTTCTTTCCGCTTTCTCGCGTTAATCTTTTAGCGACGTTTCTATGTACTAAAATACGTTTTATTAACAACGAAATGAAAAATATAAATTGGATAATTATGTAAAAGAAGAATGACGGTACTAATGAAATGCGATGTTGACATAAATAATTGTCTTTAGACGCTGTGGATTTGCTTAGTGTCTTGATTAAACAAGAAAATTATATGAATAATTATCCAATTATTTTTTTCTTCATTAAATGATAATATTTCGTGTAACTCTTATATTCCTACTATAAACTGCGTCTCGAAATCTTGATATTTCAAGAGAACGAAAGTTCGATTTAAATACCTTTTCATTATTTATCATAACAAAATATTTTATCAGCTATGTAAATAAAACTTACTGCACGGTAATCTTCAGACCTTCAAGCATTATCATAACAAACTGGTGCCATTATAATAAAACTAATTACGTCGTCTTTTTCTTCACCTGATCAATAACATTAAAAACTTCACTACCTCGTGCAAAACATCCTTCGTTTCGACGCAAAGCTTTTATAAGAGCATTCCTTTCCTATTAACTCTTTAAAACGTCAAGTACTTAATTTGACCGTTCAAAATATACATAACAAAAGGTTAATTATATTCTTTCATGAGCTTATGTACATATACCTATTTAACACTGTTTCAGAAAGCCCTCACATACGGAAAATGTGTTGAAAACATGAAGAATGTTTCGTTCGAATCGATTAGATTAAAACAATAATTGAAATGAACATGTACAGTCAGTAAAAAAAATCTCCGTACACCATTCAAGAATTTATTTAAAGCTGCATAATTTTGAAGGGAATGGAAATAAATTAATAATTTTTCTGTTAT